AGTGCCCCATGGCACCGGCAGGGAGAGGACACAGCCCCTGAGCTGCCCTCGCACTGCCTCCCCCCACACAGAGAGGTGAATCCCACCCAGTTCTTTGCAGCCAGCCTGCAGGTAGGGCATGGGAAGCAACTGGGCAGCAATCAGGCTGGCTGGCTTCCATAACAGGCTGCAGCAACTCCTTCCTCCTGGCTTCAGCCAGTGCATGGAGGCACCCAGCCCCCACCATCAAGCACCGAATGTTTGTGACTTTCAATCATGCTGTAATTTTAAGAACTTTGTGTAAAGTGCAAAAAGTTACACTGTGATGGAGGTACCCTTCTGTGACTTCTGTAAGCACCTTATAATTCTTAACCACCGAGATGGTTTGGTGAAGGGCAACTGATGAAGACGACAAATATAAACCTGACATGCTTAAAAGTGAAGCTCTTCAAAGCTATTCTTGTCTTTGACTGGATATGGTTTGTAGCATCACAGCACTGTGGTAACTGTCTGTCCATCCACTTTATATGATGCTTTTAAACCACTTAAAATGCATAAAGCATTATGTCTGCCCATACCCAGAGTCTCCTTTTGAAGCTGGCCCATCATTTTCTTTAATCTACAACCTTCTATTTTTCAGTTCACAGAAACAAAACACTAAAAAAATTCAATAGAAGTCAACTGCTTATTTTTTTCTAATTTATTGGTTCAGTGATTAAAATCAATTATTCACACAGCTCTAGATATAAATGATTATATAGCTCCTGCTTGTTTATTTAAGCCAACATTTTCAAACTTAAATCCATATGAAGGCACCTCACTGATTTCTGATATTCAGAACTGTTGCCATCTTACAAAAGTCAATGGGAAATGCTCTATGCTCAGCACCTTTGAAAATTAGGAGTGAAATACAGAACCCAGGGAAGTCAATGGGAGTTGTGGCACTGACCTCAGCAGAGCAGGATTTGGGTAGGGCTTTTCTGTTTGGATTTAGGCACCTGACTTCAATTCGAAACTGTTGGCCTTCCCTTTTTCTTCCCATCAATTAAGATGGGATTTTGGATGCAGCGGGTGTTTGCTCACATTGTATGAGGTACGGTTGCTTCTAACTCGGTTAGCTTTTCTATTTTTCAGGGTGAGAGTATTGCTGGAATTTAGCCAACTTACACCTTCACAGTCTGTGACAAGCACAGTAATGCCACATCTTGTGAGGCCACACCTGGAGTACTATGTTCAGTTTGGGCCCTCCACTGTAGAAAGGATGTAGACAAATTGGAGAGAGTCCGACGGAGGACAACAAAAATGGTGAGGGGGTTGGGGGATAGGACTTCTGAGAAAAGACTGGGGGAACTAGGCTTATTTAGTCTAGAGAAGAGGAGACTGAGAGGGGATTTAATAGCAGCCTTCAACTATCTAAGGGGAGGTCCCAAAGAGGATAGAGCTAGACTGTTCACAGCGGTGGCAGATGACAAAACAAGGAGCAATGGGCTCAAGTTGCAGCAAGGGAAGTTTAGGTTAGATATTAGGAAGAATTTTATCACTAGGAGGGTAGTAAAACACTGGGACAGGTTACCCAGAGAGGTGGTGGAAGCTCCATCCTTGGAGGTTTTCAAAACCCGGCTAGACAAAGTTTTGGCTGGGATGATCTAGTTGGGGCTGGTCCTGCTTTGAGCAGGGGGTTGGACTAGATGTGACCTCCTGAGGTCCCTTCCAGCCCTGTCTATGATTCTACTGTCAATACTATCTATATGCACAAAACTTAACTGTGAATTCTTGAATTACAGGGCACAGATTCCTTCTGGTAATCCATCTATATTCCACAGAGCTAAATCCTGTGCTTTAGCAGGGAAATCCTGCCCCACTGAAGCCAATGGAAGCTTTGCTATGCACTTTAAGGGAGAGAGCAGAGGTCAGGATTTTCCTCCAGGGTATTCCCTGGTGCAGAGCCCTAGGAGTTTTGCAGCCTGCCTGGGTTCCCCAGCTCTGGAAACCAGCCCTAATAAGAACCAGGAGAAAGCTACAATACCCCTACGGCTACCACACCTCTGATTCTCTTCAGAGGCTCAACCACACCTCTTAAACACTAAGGGCACTTACACGCTTGCTGGGAGGCTGCTCCGATGCACTGTAAATCCAGTTTAATCGAGTCTACTGGAGCACGGAAATGAACATGCTCCAGCATCACGTGCATCAGGGTCCCCACACTGAAAAATGGCAGAGGGACACTTTGAGCTAAAAACTCGTCAAACAAGCTATAGTTCAAAGCACCCCTATGCCATTTGTTTAGCATGGGGATGCTGATACATGTGACACCCAGGTGCTTTGAATTAATGCAGGTCACTAATTAAAGTCCGTCCCCCCCCATTCCCCATGCTTCCCGAAGTACATCTATAAATGCCCTAATAGGATGAGATTTCTCTCCAAGTGATACCCAGGAAGGCTGCTCAAATGGAGGAATGTAACTTTTGGGTCTGATCCTGAAAAGGGCTGAACCACTGTAGCCCCTAAACTAGCTCATCTCAGTGTATTATGGCAGCAATATCCTTTTTTCTTTTTGCAGTACAATTACCTCAACAATGATTTTGTAAAGCAAAAACAAGGGTTTCCACAGCCATTTCTTCCCATAACGTAGCAATATTCAGCCCATCCCAATTCAAGATAGAAATGGGGTATGTGAACGTGGATGCACTCTTTCCAGAAGGGAACAGGAGGCTTGGATGTGAGCCAAGAAAACTCCCCAAAGGGAAAGCTTTTCTATTTATTGTTCTATTTGCTAGGAAGCATTTCCCTCATGGGCTGCTCTGGTCAGCATTCAAATTAAAAGGCATCCTCCTGTAAAAGAAAGTTGGTGTCAAAGCTCAATGCCTTGTGTACAGGCGACAATCTCAGAGGGCAAAACTGCACTAGCTATGCTACTGTCCATCAGCAACAAGAAGAGATGCATCCCCTGAACAGACTTACGGAAAGTCTATGCCTCTTCCCTTCCAGGGTCCAGTCCCTGTTATTCAACAGGAGGACCTGCCCTAATTTAGTTACAAGGACTGGGCTCCACCAATTGTTCTCGCATGATTAAAATCTCAGTAGAGGTCTACGAATAAAAGATAAATCTAATTCAACTGTTTGTATATTTAACTAAGAATTTTAGGCCAATCCCGCCTTGGGCTGTTACAGGATACAGTTGGCGTTTCCCTAGAAAGCACTTGGCTGAGAAAACTGGGAGAGAAGGGCAGCGAGCTAATATTTAAACTAAGTCAATGATCAATAACTGGGAAAGTTTCCCACAACAGGTTCTAACATTTCCCGTTGATGCTGGGCTTGTGCATGACAAGGTCCAGAGGTCAAGGCATCTGCTGCCGCCAGTGATTGGCTGAGTTTAGCTATTTAACAATGGCACCAAGAGTGGGCTGTTTCTACCAGCAAACTGGCCAGATATCTATGTTATCTGGAAACTTTTTATAGATTGCACTAACAGACTTGGTAATCTAGTGTGCCTTTTCACCCCCCGGATGGCTAGTGCCCACTTACCATGGCACAAGCCATTCTCAGATTCTGACTCTATTATAAGTACAGTAACCTCCAAGAACCTGGGTTCCATCCAGCTGCAAACAACTGTAAGCCTTGATCAGAGCTGACCAAGAAATGGTCTTTCCTATTCTCTGAAATTTTGATATATCACATATTTTCCCAAAAACTTTTGAAAGCATTTCTTAAATAAGGAAAGAAAAAGAAAGAGAGAGAAAGAGACTCCTCCAGCCAACAGCCTGATGGACCAGGGCATTCTCCCAGGATGTAGGAGATTCAGTCTTCCTACCAGACCTATCTTCCATCTACTGGCTCCTAGTCTTACACCATCTCTATATCCAGACACCCAGTTCCATTTTCTCTCATCTTCTCACACCTATTTCTACCCTGAGTCTCCCCTGCTCCCAGTTCTTAATCCCATTTCTTTTCCTCTTGGTCCAATTCTTGTCCATTTTGCATTTAACCCAAGTAGCTCACCCTCCCATGTTGCCTGAGGCCCCAGACCTGGCATAGCGCACAGCCTGCCCAGTCCCAGCAGAATCTTTGGGGCAGTTCAGCTGCTAAATCTAAGCTATCTCACAGTGCCTTCATTAATAGTTATAGGGAGTTTTTGCTGTTTATGGTACTGGCTGAAATTCTGCAAAACAATTCAGCCTTGGCCAGACATTCAGGCTGGAAAATTTCAGTTTGAGCAGTTAAAAACCATAGGCAAAGTTAAAACAACCGAAAGCAGGGACTTACAGTGGGAAGCGTGGAACAGTATTAATAGACAGTGGCATCAGCTCCACCTATAGTGACTCGGGAATTTATTACACAGCAAGAAAACATCCCCTTTCTTTCACAGGCTGTCTCCTCTGCATCCTTTTTTAACTAGCATGCATTACCATTTGCCACTGCAACTGGAACAGGTTTCATTCACCTATTTAAAATTGAAATATCCGAACGATCCTCTGGAAAGGCATGCTACACAACAAGCATTTTGTGCATTTATTTCCAGCACTATATGTAGTCAGAGCATGCAGGCTTCAATGAATACTTTACATACTATTTGCATTTTATGATATTAATTGAAAGATTTAACTGACTAGGAAGGATGTTGCTGTCTAGGAGCCTGTTAAAAGATGCCTATTATTTTAAAAGCCAGACATACGAGCGCAAATTAAACACATCCCATATTGCAATGCATGCAGCATGTCTTATTCTAAAACAATGAGCCGGGGGGCTGGACCCGATGATCTGTGAGGTCCCTTCCAGCCCCTAACAATCTATGAATATACATTTGCTAAGTTCATTTTTGCCTCTGACCTTCATCTAACATGAATTTCAACTGCACATTTAGGCTGCTGATCTAAAATTTGATACAAGTCCAATTTAACTAGCCTTCATCTTCAAGAAGATATTTTGGAGTTCACAAAAGAAAACTGCAGCCTAATTAAATTGCTTATTTCTCCCAAACCAGCCATAAAAATCAGCAATCATTTAAAGAGATATTATACAACTGAAATGCTACAGGACTCCATATATTGTGTAAAAGTTAAGATGCTTGATTGTTACACTTTTGGGATGTGGTCCAAAGCCTTTAAAGTCAGTGGGTTGTAGTTGACACTCATTAAAAGCACATTATTACGTGCTTTAAACTGAACAAATTCTGAGTGAAAATAAACAGAAAAATCTTTGCACATGATCTCCCAAATACATCAAAACATAGATGTTGAACTATTTTATATTACACCTAGTACAAAATGGTTTGGAAATAGTTATCCTGTCAGATAGAAAAAATAGAGCTTTGAATATAAGACATGTTTACAAACGCATAATTCAAACCTTTTGTGGCAGGCTGAAAATTCAGAGAGAAAATAAGTACTTTAATAAAAATAAGGAGGGCTTTGAACAGCACATTCTTTTTTCTTGATGAGAAGTGCTTTTGTCGGGGTGCTGAATTCTTGTTTGGAAAATGCATTTTTCCCCCCATTGCAGTGAATGAAAAGAATGAAATGGTGACTTAAATGAATGCAGTAAGCCAACACTGTACTAGTTAAACACTGACATCTACAGTCACGTCTTGGGAAGAAAAAAAAAGAGAAAGAAAGGGTGTCTCTGGAGCGCAGAGCAAGTTATTGGCACTGCCTTGAACAAATGAGATATCACTGGCAGTCAGACGGGTACCTGATTTACCGTTTTTAATCTGCCCAGAAATTTGAGTGTGCCATTATATCCGACTGGCTAGAACAAGTATTCAATATGAACTGCAGAAGGACCAACACACACACACAACTAAAAATGAGGCAGAGTGCATGGCTTGATCTTTAAACACCAACAGAACTTCCATTTCTTCAGCTGAAATTTGCTCCCTGCTGGAGAGATTAAAAGGAAAAAAAAGAAGAAGAAAAATACCTTGCAGATCATGTTGCTCCCAAAGGATAGTAAGGCATTTTATTATACTGTTAATTAGACTAGTAGTTGCATTTAGGAGACAAAAATTAAAATTTAATAACTTAGATGGCAACAGAGCCACCTATTGCCAACAAGCTAGACTGGATGACAGCTACCACTGAATGCAATTACACCATGACATTTAAAAAAAAAAAAAAAAA